CCGGCGCGGCGAGGCGGCTCGGGCTCGCGGCGCCCATGCACGGCTCGTCGGTGCGCCGGCGGCAGGCGGCCGCGGGGTGCTCGCCCGCGGGCAGGTGAGTGCGCGCCCCCCGGGCCGGCCGAGCGGGAAGCAGCCGCGGCCCGCCCCTGCCTCCCTCCCTCGCTGCAGCGGCTCTGCCTCTTGCAAGGCGCGGCCCGCGGGCGCCCCGAGCAAGCGAGACCGCGCTCCCCGCCCCGCGGGCGCTTCAGCTCCCGCTGGTTTTCTGCGCGGCGGCGGGGGGGAGGCGGCCGAGGGAAGGGGCACAGGCCGGGACAGGCGTCGCCATCACGGCCACCCGGGCGGTTTGTAGAGAAACCCTTACAAAGAGAACGCCGGCCGGCAGCGGGGGCGGAGGGCGGAGGGGCGCGCTTTGGGGCGGGTGCCCCCCCCCGCCTCGGCTTTGCGCGCGCTCGCAACCCGGGGGGGCCGGCACGTGGGCGCGTCGTCGCTGGGAAGGAGCGCCGGCGGGCGCGGACCCGTGCTCGCTCTGCGCCTGGGGCGGGTTGTGCGTTGCACGACTCCGGCGGGATTTGCAGAGAGGCCCGGAGAAGTAAGCCCCGAGGATCAAGGACGTTCCCGGCCGGATTTTTAAAATAACAACAAACCCGCAGTAATCCATGCCCTGAGAGGGGGACACGGGGCATCTTCCGGGGAGAATCTCCTGCATTCCCCGTTGCACGCGTGCAGCGGGAAAGCAGATGTCTTGCAGCTTTGTTAGGCTTTGCCCGCTGATCTTATCCAAATAACCTTTTTAAAACCCTTGCAAAAACATCCCCTGCCTAGTTCTGATGTGTGGGCAAAACTCCACCCTATATGTGAATATTTCCAAAGCAGCACCCCTGAAAATTGCTCTGTGGCATCCTAATTTAGAAAAGATCGGCAATCACGTTCGGCATTCTTGATTGCCAAATAGTCACTTTGCTAGCAAACTGCTCTTGAGGAAGAGGTGGGAGCAGAGCTCGTTTCGCTGGATGCGCCAGATCCTCACTTGGTTGCACTCAGCTGTTTCCCAGTGAAGGTGGACAAGGTGGGCCAGAAGCTGAGAGGCCTCGGTGTACCAGAAGGGAGTCTGGCAAACACGCAATTCCACGGACTGTGTGTTTCTTCCCCGGTATTTTGGCACTGCCCCGTTGCCTTAAGTGTGGTGGGGAGCCCTTGTGGGTATCCAAAGCAGAGCCTCCCCGTCTGTGCCTTAGCTTTTACAGCTGGTTTTGTATGGATGGCTCAGCTCCTGTTCTCTCCCCAGCAGGCACCACGGGGCACCTCCAGCTGGCGACGCGTGCAGGATTCCCCGCTTCCATTTCGACCTTTGGTTTTACTTCACTCTGCAGAACTGGGTCCTTGACTTCGGCCGCCCCATCGCCATGGTGAGTGGTGCAGCAGCACCTCTGGGGAAAGTGTTTGGGTCATGTTTCAGGACCACTGACCCAGCTTGCATTCCCGTGTGAACTGGAGCCTTTGGTTTTTGCAAGGGACACCATTCGCTGCACGCACAGATGAACACTCGTGTGCATCAGCAGAGGGATAAAGCCCCTGTTTTCGCAATTAGGCTGCTGGTCACACAACGGGACTCCTGGATAAGTGCCCTTGAAATGCGTTGTCCCTCTGACCCTGGCTGGGACTTTCGGCTCATGCGGCCAGAGAGAAAACGACCCCGGTGGTCCGTCCTGAGAAACAGACACGCGAAACACCCACTGCGTGTTAGGGACCGCTGGTGACCCCCTCTCTCCTTTGGGCTCCCCATTCTTCAGATTGTGCTTCCACTGGAATGGTTTCCCCTGAATAAACCGAGTGCTGGAGATTATTTTCACATGGCTTACAATGTCATCACGCCATTTATTCTTCTGAAGGTAAGCCCTCTGCCTTTCTGGTGAGATTATCTGGGGATGTGTGTTTTTGTTCTGTCTCCCCTGGAGGGGGATTTTTGGAAGATCTGGTGGCAGATGGTGGGAATGATCGGAAGCGCTGGGGGAGACTGTAGGGCTCTGCTTTCTTGGACAATTGCATTCAGAACAAGGAGTGGTGTGTTGGACTCTCACAAGCACAAACGATCTCCTCCCAGTGTCATTGCGTAACGCTTCTGGCTTTTTGCATCAGCAAAAGGAGAATGAATACAAACCCCCGCTCCAAAGCATATTGCTGATGGCAAATCTAGGACTGGTTGCCTCTTCTCCCCTAACTTGAACTCAGCGCTGTCCTGATTGTGACCCTTCCCGCCTTCCTATAACTCCAGATCTGCTGCTCCTTTTGGTTTAGAGACAGTTTTGCTTTGCTTTTTGTTTTTGGGCTGTTGTGGGCAGGAGGGGACCACACATTCGCCTCTGAGGAGTCCCACTTCCGGTCTTTCTGGCTAACAAATAGAAATCAGTTGCTTTGACATATGAATAGCCGTTGAGTTAGTCACAATATACATCCAGGGCAGAGGAAATGGCAGGGTGGAAGAACAGAGTGTGAGCAAAGTGTTTATTTTAGTCCTGCCCTTTAGGAAAAATAAATGACATGAATCTTTCGGGAAATAGTGGTTCGGACCCGCAGCCGCATCCCTCATGTCAGGTGCAGTGAGGACCCTCTCCCAGGCCTCCTCGGCCTCCTTGTCACCATGCGCCTTCCAAGGTGGGGGGAGAGCCCGTCTCACGGGAAGAAACCCTTGTGGGAGCAGCTGGGTCGCCTCTTGGGAAAGGGTGGCGTCCCCCATAAAGACCCGTCCTCCCCGGCTCGCTCAGCACACAAGGATGGCGCGTGCAGGACCGTGTGGCTCCCCCGAATGGCCCAGATTCGGCCCTGGAGCCTCCGGCGGTGTCGCCTCTTGGGCAAAGCAACCTCAAGGGCCAACGGCAGCCTGGGGGCTCCCCTGCTTTGCACAGTGGGGGGACCCACCTGGGCGGTCCCCATCCCGGCACGGTGCCCCGATCATCGCCCTGGGACCCTTCAGCAGGAAGGCCGTGCAGTTCCCACACCCTCGTGGGAAGAGGCTGATCCTGCCCCGAGATGCTTGGCCGTGATCTATGCCGGCTGGCCCTGAGCGGTTACGCGAGGAAGGGAAGGCCGCTCCTCCGGCCCCGGGTGCCGAAGGGGTGGGCGCGCGGGCGTGCGAAGGCGTTCCCCTCCCCGCCCTTCAAAGCACAGGCTTTCGTTGCAGCTCATTGAGCGGTCGCCGAAGACCCTCCCCCGGTCCATGGTGTACCTCTGCATCATCACCTTCGTCATGGGCGCCAGTATCCACCTGGTGGGCGACTCGGTGAACCACCGGCTGATCTTCAGCGGCTACCAGCTGCACCTGTCCGTCCGCGAGAACCCCATCATCCGCAACCTCAAGCCGGAGACTCTGGTAAAGGGGCCCCTTTGACCCCACAGGCCGCGCTTGGCGGCCCCCGAGCCCCTTTCCCAGCCTCACTGCCCCTTCGCTTGCCTTCCAGATCGATTCCTTTGAGTTGCTGTACTACTATGACGAATACCTGGGCCATTCCATGTGGTGAGTCTGGGACTGCTCTTCCTCGTCTTGCGGTTCAGGGTTGGTTCTTCTGGTTTGGGTGTGCTGCTCGTTTTTAGGCAGAAAGGGCCCAACCTGATAGGTTCGGGGGTGTCGCACACACTGTGCTTTTACCATGCACAGGGAAAACCAAACAGAGTTTGAGGAGGATGAGTGTCACTTTGAAAGACACGCGATTGGATCAGTAAACGCCCCTTTCGAGGGTGTTTGCCTCCCTGCAGTGCGAGGAACTGGCTCTGTTGAGGCCGCCACGCCGGTTTGGTTGGGCTGTTCTGCCTTCGTGCTGCTCTGAGTCGCTGCTCTGCAAGTTTGCTAAAACTTGAACAAAGGGATTCACTATTGCAGTCCCTTTCGGCGCAGACATACTCTTCCACACCTCCGGCACACCCTTCCTGCTCACTGCTCTTGTTATGTATTGCTGTGTCACAGCTTACCTGTTTTCCCAGGTGTTTTCACCATTCTCCTGGGCTTCTTGAGCTGTTCCCATTCTTTTTGGTTATCTACACCTGGCCGATACTGGTGGAGTTTGGCCCACAGAGACCCCACCTGGATGCCCAGGCTGCAAACAAGGCTGTGAAACTGGCTTACATGTTACATCTGCCCGAGACCCTTCATAGAAACATAGAAACAGAGCGAGTCAGAAGGGGTGTCCCGGGCCATCTAGTCTGACCCCCGGCACCAGCCAGCTCCTCATGACATGCCCACCATGTGCACGTCCAGCCTATCTTTGAACACCCGCACCGATGGGGCCTGAACCACCTCCCAGGGAAGCCCATTCCACACGCTCGGGGTCCTAACTGTCAGGAAGTGCTTCCTGGCATCCAAATTGAACCTTGGCTCCCTGAACTTTGCTCTGTTGGAGCGCATCCTGCCTTCCTCTGCAGGGGAGAACAGGTCTCTGCCCACCTCCGTGTGACACCCCCTCACATACCTGTATGTCGCCAACAGATCCCCTCTGAGTCGGCTCTTCAGACCCTTGGGAGACCTTTCCTGAGGCCATCTGTCCGTCTCTGTTCTGCACACTCCCCACTGGCTCTCGGGTCAGGCTCACAGGTTTAACTCCCAAATCAGTCACGCTCTGGGGTAGCCACCAGCTACAATTAGACAGAGAGCATCTCAGCCAGCTCTGTGTTTGCGCCGTTTGCACCTGGCCCCTTTATGATGGGGAAAGAGGGCCGCTTTTCAGCAGTGGGCTTCAACCCTGTTCCGAAAAGTAGATTCGCAGGACTGGTGGCTTTGTGGGAGATTGCAGAGGCGAGGGAGTGGGAGCTGCTCTTTGCAAAGCGAGGTGGGCCGGGGGGCAAGCAGTGCCGCCTTGATTCCAGGGCACCACTGGGCAGGTTCATGGACCTTTTAAGGCTTGGGACCCGTATCAGCAGGCTTTTCACTATTAATTGAATACACTTGCACATTATCAGAACTGCAGCATTCTTTAAACCTTGCAAGAAGCACAGGGAATTTGCAGATTAATAAGAACAGCATGCAGTTTTTTCCTAGAAGAAAAGCCCCCTTTAAGCAATTCTTTTTCGTTTTTGCTTTTTGACCATGCTGCATGGAAGCTGAGAAAGGTTCCCTTGCACGCAGCTCCAGGAATTCGAAACATCCGAAACATTGAAACATTCGAAACAGGCCTCCCGTTTGCAGCTTTAACTGAGCTGCCGATGGAAACTTCCAGTGAGCTTGAAGATTTCTGGGAAGTAGCTGCCCAGATCCATGGGGAAAGGGACAAGCGGCAGGCAGGCATCTTGCACTGGCCTTGTTCAGCGATGTCACCCGATCATCCTGCGGAATGCGCAGCAAGTTCACTGGGGGTCTTTTCGGCAACAGGGCAGCGGCCAGAACCTGGGGAGCAGAGCGGTCCGCCTGGTTAGGCCTTGCTGAAGCCTGTCCTTTCCCACAGGTATATCCCCTTCTTTCTTGTCCTGTGCATCTACTTTTCTGGCTGCTTCATACCTCGCAAAGAGGAGCAACAGCGAATTCCTGTGGCTGCACTACTCCTGATCGGGCCCAGCAGCCTCTACTACTGGTGAGCAAGCCCAGCCGCTCTGGCGAGGGTGAGCGCGTTCCACCGGGGCTGCCGATGGGGAGCGCAGCAGTGGGTCGGGCGGCGTGGGTTCCCTCGGGCGGGGACCAGCTGCCTCCTCCGCAGAACGTCTCGCCGGTCTCGGTCTCCGCGGGGTTTGGACAGAGGCCGGGGAGGCTCTGGTGGGCTCACGCCCCTCACGCCTTCACCCCCAGGGGTCTGCTGCCCCAGCGAAAACCTCCGCCGCCGGCAGTGCCTGCCCAGTTTGGGAGCAGCTCCTTTCACGGGGCAAGCAGGAACTGGCCGGCGAGTGTCGGCTCTAAGCCGAATGCTAAGAAAATAACTGGAGCGCAGGGTTGTCTGGGCGTCCTCGGAGGGCGGGGCAGGAGCGCGGCAGTCCTGCAGGCAGCACTCGTCCCGCGACCTTCGCCCACGAAGGCCTCCGCAGACCCGCAGTTTCGTGGCATCGCTGGGTCCTTTCCAGGCCGTTCTGAATTGCAGGACCGGCCACTTGGATGAGCCGGGAAGGCGCCCCGAGCCCCACTCTGTCTCTTCTCTCCACTCTGGGGAAAATGCCACTGCCAAAGGTTGGCCTTGCTTTGCGTAGGCGAGAACCGTGTGCGCCGACGGCATTCGTGGTGCTCCCTGCAGTTGGGACACCACCCTCCCCAGCCAGGTAGCCTGAGACCTCAGTTTGCCAGCGAACTGCGGTCTGCCCGGGAAAGGGTGCCCGGGCACTTAAGAGGCGAGAGCTTCTTGGTGGGGGCACCCAGAGTGCGCACGCTGCCTCAGGAGAGCTTGCCTTGCTCCCCTCGCTGCCCTCCCTCCCGACCACGGCTGCGTTCCTGGGAGGCAGCGTTCCTTCGGGGTGCTACCGCTGTCGCTGTGCCTCGCGGCAAACTGCCCGGCTGAAGTTGCTGTCGCCAGTGGGCCGGGCTTGGCCCTGCCTCGAGTCTGTGCTGAGGTGGCCAGGCGAGAAGCGAGCAGGGCGTGCCCAAGCCCTTCGCCGCCAGCCTCGCCTGCCAAGAGAAGCTCTGACTGGCAGCGTTCTCCTCCCGCAGGTACCTCGTCACGGAGGGGCAGATTTTCATCCTCTTCATCTTCACGTTCTTCGCCCTGATGGCACTGGTGATGCACCAGAAGCGCAAAGGGCTGCTCATGGACAGCAATGGCCGCTTCCTCTTCTACTCCTTTGTCATCACGCTGGTGTTGATCACCCTGTGGGTGGGCTGGCTCTGGAACGACAAGATCCTCAGGAAGAAATACCCAGGCATCATCTACATCCCGGAGCCGTGGGCCTTTTACACCTTGCACATGAGCAGCCTGCAGCCCGCCAAGGGGGGGAGCGCTTAGAGACGGCTTGCGGGGCACGGGCGGGGATGCAAACACAGAGGTCCACTGCGGAGGAGAGGCGAGCCCCTCCCTTTCTCCGTCCTTCCTTCCTTCCTTCCTTCCTTCCTTCCTTCCTTCCTTCCTTCCTTCCTTCCTTCCTTCCTTCCTTCCTTCCTTCCTTCCTTCCCTTCCTTCCTTCCTTCCTTCCTTCCTTCCTTCCTTCCTTCCTTCCTTCCTTCCTTCCTTGCCGTCTCCCTCCAAGCGGGCCTTTGTTAGGATCTCAGCCTCCGCCAGGAGGGAGCGCTTGAGTGGTGGGGAGAATCTGCAGAAGCAGGCCCACCCTTGGCCTGCAGAAGCCGAGCACCGGCGAGGCCACCTCTTTTCTCCATGCCCCAGGCGGCTGCCAGGGGAACCTGGCAGGAGCCATCGCAGAAGCCCGGGGGAGGGCCCGCTGTCCCCTCTGGCGGCCACGGAGGCTCTGGGGGTTTGCATCCCGCGTGCTTCCCAGTTGTCCTTCTGTAGCTGGAAGGAGAGGCGATGCAGAGACACGGGTGCTCGTTCAGTTTAGCCGGGCCGGGAGAGGCCCCCAAGTGGCTTTCTGCTGATGCCTTTTGAGCTGCTGCAGAAAACTCGTGGGGCTTCCTGGTTGAATCGCCAAGCATTTTCCTTTTGCGAGAGAGAGAGAAGCGAGAGCTGAGACCTTGACTGGGTACCACCTGGGGCACGCAGTGTCCCTTCTCGCCCAGTCCGCGATTTGCTGTGAGAAAACTGCGCCGGCCCGAGGAAGGCCCTTCTGTGTTGCGGGAGTGAGCATGCGGCTGCTCAGGGGGTTGCCCAGAGGTGCCACGCCTCCTCCGGTGTTCAGGCAGCCTTCTCCAGCCCGCTGCCCTACAACTCCACTACACTGTGCCAGCCAGGGCTGATGGGAGTCATAATCCAATAATATCTGGCGGCCACAAGGCTGGGGAAGAGGATGCCTCCGTTCTCGAATTTGCAGAATTGAGAAACCCTGGGGGGGGGGGGGCTTCAGACTTTGATGGCAGTTGCACCAACTTCCACAGCAAGCTGTAAAACTTAGGGCCCCCAAACAAGTACGCCCAGAAACGGGGCGAAGCAGGGCCGTCCAGCAATTCAAGAATCCCCATCAAGAATCCCTTGCCTCTAAACTGCGCATTAGTCTTTTAAAAGCTGAACAGTATCAAGACTGAAAGCCCAGCTGAAATTTTAACGCAACGGATGCAACGTGATCAGCTATTCCTTGCAAGAAGGAAAGGCTGGCTGGGAAAGCTTCCCTCCGAAGAGGGACCCCCCCCCACATGGTTTCTGCATGCTTGCGTGAGCTCCCAAGAGGCTCACGGTATAGGACCTTGTACATTAAAAGAAGCAAGACTGGAATTAGGATGGGAGGGTCCCATGAGGGTCAGAAACTCCTGCCCTTACTCCACTACACGATTTGGGGGAGAAGGGAAGCGACAAGACCCCCCTTTGGTAGAACCCCTCGCCTCTGTCCCTGCACTCGGGTCCTGCCGGTGGGCCCGAACCACACAGCATGGCTGGAGGAACCGAGCTGCTGGTTTAAAGAAAGAGTGCTTGGTGCGTTTCCCAGTCGAGTGTTGCTCCACTTTGGGTCGGTGTACCTGATCCGGGGCTGCGCCGAGCACTCGGGTGAGCCCGGCGAGTTGCTGGGCCCTGCTTTGCCCTGTGCAAGCAAAGGTGTTCGCGGACACCAGTGTTTCTAGGGGAGGTTTCTAGGCAGACTCCCGTACAGAAAAGAACCAAAAAGCTGAGCTCGGGGCCGAGGGCGAGGCAAGAGCATCGCACGGCTCTGATGGCGCTGCAGTGCTGTTAGCGAAAGGAACGCCGTGGTCAGCAACCCGCCCTCTCCCTGCAGGGGCCCCCTACCCTTTTCCTCTCCCATCCTTCGAAACGCGGGTAGAGGCCTTTCATGCTGGGGGGGGGGGGCATGGCAGGGTCACTTTCCAGCTGGGGAACATGTTACATAGAACCTCCTTCCCGTGCCCTGGAATGCCTGAATCCAGCGCCTGTTCCGACTTCGCATCGTGTGTGCATCCTGGGGACGATCCAAACTGATCTGTGGTGTGTGTGTGGGCACAGAAAATAAAACTGCTGAAATCTTCCTGGTCTGAGATGTTTAGCACCGTTTTAGGAGTGCCGATAAGTCTGAATTTCTACTATGATTGTGCTGCTCCCGCTTTTCCTCGAAGGAAGCTCAGGGCTGCTGCTGGCACCTGGGGCACAGCCCTGGGAGGGGGGTCAAGCTGCGAGGCCAAGCCCGCTCACGGGGCCTCACGACAGTCCGGTCTGCCTGGCCCAGACCCTGGCCCCCCGTGGGGCCTGCTTGTGCCATGGGGGGGGGGGGCGTCCGACGAGCGTGTGCGCTGTGGCACATGGGTGCCTTCTCCTTGGGTAGGCCACAGGGCTGTCTGAATCCACTTCTGTGCATTCCCAACTGCCCATTTTCCTGCAGTCGTCTCCGCACTGGCTTGTCCGGGCCGTTGCATGCCAAGAGGACCCGAAGTGGCCTGAAGCATCTTTGATGCCCGAGAGGAAAGAGGCTAGTAGCCCCGATGCACGGGGAGCCCTGTGCTGATCCCTGCCCCGCGTGGCCCAGGCTTCCGAGAGCCCGGCCGGCCCCTGGGTGCCTCTCCTGGCCACGGGCCGTGTGGAGGGGGCGCGTGCTCCAGCAGTGCCCCCAGCCAGCTGGCGAAGGCGCATCACGTGCTGCCACCTCCCTGCCGGACCCTCGCAGCGGTAGGTGCAGCAGTGGGGCCTGACCGCTGCATGTCCTCCCAACAATCGCCTTACGCCTCAGCACACGGGCGCCGCTTGGCTGGCCTTTAGGCACAGCATGGGGCGCCTCTCCGGGATTACCAGGCGTGGGGGACTCGGGAGCTGTGCTGCGGCGGCCTGCGTGGAAGGGCTTCACCTGCCGCACACGCAGAGCTGGCCTCGCCTGGCAGGCGGCAGAGGGTCCTGCTGAAATCCAGCACGCGGTGTGGGTCCCGTCCTGTCTCCATGGCAGCACGGAGTATTCATTACACTTGCTGCAAGTTGTGACTCCGGAACAGGTGGACTTTAGAGCTTGATCAGGCAGAAAGGCGGAGGCGGAAGACGCGAGAGGAGAGGGCTGCTGCAGGATTTGTCTCACGCAGGAGAAAGCAAAAGGCCAGCCATGGTGAATGCAGAAAAAGTCTCCATGTGTAGGGGAGGGGGGCGTGGGGAGGGGGGCAATGTTCCCCTTTCTCAGGGCTTGCTTTAACATCTCCTTTCTTCTGTGCATCGCAGGCAAAATTTCTGTCCCACGATCAAATCAACGGTACGTATCGCCTTCGGTTTTCATATTTACCTTCCGCCTTTCTTTGAATAAGGCCCAGCCTCTTAGCTTCGCTGCTTCATAGTTTTGCTGTACTCTCAGGCCACTGAGATGCACTGACAAGGAGCCAAACACCTTGCGCATTATACAAAGCATTTTGTGCTTGGCTGTTGAAGTTGTTTCCCAAATGAGCAGGCTGTTTTTAATGGGCTAATTGCTATCAGGATTCTTCTCTTTAGTTTTAGGGTCAGGTTAACATTATAATTCAGTCTTCTTGCGTGAAGTTGTCAATGGTTTGAAAGTGTTCCTATGCAGCATTCATGTCAGAAAGAAAACAAGAGGAATTGCTTGTCCTGGGAAGCCGTTGCCAGGAGCACCTCCCGGCTTTTGGCTTTGTGCCTCCTGCCTGGCACAGGAAAAAAGGATCTATTCTTTTGTAGGGTGAATTCACAGGGCCGGGTGGGGGACACGCTCTTTGAAGAGAGCCTGTTAACCAGGTTTGTTTTTTAAACGAGACCAGCATCCAGAGTCTGAATGCTTTTTTTACTTATTCTGAAGGTCAGGAATTGAGGAAGCTGAAAGTAATTCCAAAGTATCAGGAAAAGAGGTGCCGTCCATTGGGATTCAAATTGTAAAAGGGATGGAATGACATCCTCTTAAACTTGCATTATTTATTCAGATGTGCTAATGACCCGGACTTCCCGCTCCCTTTCCCCTGACTAGAGTTCAAGGAATGTTTTTCCCTTTATGATAAGAAGCGCAAAGGCAAGATAAAGGCCAGCGACCTGCTCACAGCCATGCGCTGCCTGGGGACCAGCCCCACCCCAGGGGAAGTGGCCAGGCACCTTCAGCTGCACAAGGGGGGTAAGTAAAGGGAAGCCGTGGGTCTCGGGTGCCGGTGTCCAAAAGCACGGGGCGTGCAAGGCCCTGAGAAAGCCATTCAGAGACGCAAGAGCTACTGATCACTAAACTACAACATTTCACTCCTCTCCCGTCTCTTGACCTTAAATGCAAAACTCAGGGAGAAATCGCGCCATTTGTATAGGCATGCTGGCTAGGTTCCCAACAAGCAACCCCACCCAGCCCTTTCCCTGCTTTGTGGCCCGATTTGCATGAAAAATGCCACTGAATCTGGCCTCCTGGGGAACACACACTGGGGCGGGGGGTGGGGGGGCAGAGTTGCTTCAAGCCCCAATCCGGGAGGCACTGAATTGGCATCTGCGGAAAACGGGGCTGCTGGGGGAATCGGCACCCCCGGACACAGCAGTGCAGCCAGCTGAAAGCAAAACGCGCAGGCCAGCCAGAGCTGCGGCAGTGCTGCTGGGACCCAGCCACCCACTCCTCCCTTCTCTGGGTTTCCAGATGGCAGTGCAGAGCTGGATTTTTCAGACTTCCTGACTATAATGTACAGGCAAATGCAGCAGGAAGAGCCCAGAAACGAAATCCTCTCAGCCATGTCCATGATGGACAAGCAGAAGACCGGATTCATCGCGGCGGCAGAACTGAGGGCCAAGCTGATGAACCTCGGAGAAAAGCTGTCCAAGGAGGAGGGTGAGTCTCGCTGGGGGCGCCGGTGTTGTTCTTGGTTGCCAGTGGCCGTGTAGCCCTTTGTCCCAAGCTTGCCTCTGGCAAGCAGGGTTTTGTATCAGAAGCCTAGGGCCCTGCAGCTCTTGAGACTACAATTCCCAACATGCCAGGTGGAGGCAATCTACCGTGTTGCTTCAGAAACCATATTGCATTGGCTGGAGACAGCAGAGGGAGAAAAGTGCGCTGTAGGAAGCAGTGTGTTTCAAACAACACTACTGAGCATCCCTATTCTTCGGAGGGTGAGTTTTCAGCACAGCATCTTACTAAGTGGCAGAGGACTGCGTGTCGTCTAGTTAGAAGCTTCCTGCAAAATCTTTTCTTGAAAACCTCCAGAAAGATTCTGCAATGCTCATGGCAGCTCCTTGTGGTCCTGCTGGGACGACTGAGCTCTTACGCGAAGGCCTCCACCTCCAATGCCTTTCCCTTCAGAAGCATGGCAAGGATGTGAGACTTGCAGTAATCTGGGGGCTCCAGTCGGCTCACGGAGGAGAAAAGACACATGCGGTGGCTGGGAGCAAGCGAGCAAGGTCGTCACTGACCAAGCTGCCCCTCACCCTGAACGGTCGAACATTTTTCTGCTCTCCAAACATTGCCCTGCCTGGTCCAGTGGCTCCAGGCATGTGCACGGGCTCGCCGTTATTTCAGGCATCCATCTCTCCCTGCTCTCCTTTCACACACAAAGCAGGTGCTTCGAGTGACAGCCCTTTCCCAAACAGGAGTGTGCAGGTCTTGTCTGGGCGCACCAAACATTGGATCATGACACGCCTTTGGACCATGCCCTGGGTGGGCCTGCCATCCCATCCAAGGGTGGTGCCCCTTGCAGCTGCTGGGACGTTGTTGTTGTTAGTTGTGAAGTCGTGTCCGACCCATCACGACCCCATGGACAACAGTCCCCCAGGCCTTCCTGTCCACCATCCTCTCGAGTCCACCCAAGCTCACCCCAACTGCTTCGGTGACTCCATCCAGCCACCGCATCCTCTGCCGTCCCCTCCTTCTTTTGCCATCTACTGTTCCCAGCATCAGGCTCTTCTCCAGGGAGTCCTTCCTTCTCATTAGGTGGCCAAAGTATTTGAGTTTCCTCTTCAGGATCTGGCCTTCTGAAGAGCAGTCAGGGTTGATCTCCTCTAGGACTGACCGGTTTGATCACCTTGCAGTCCCAGGGACTCGCAGAGTCTCCTCCAGCACCACAATTCAGAGGCCTCAATCCTTTGGTGCTCAGCCTTCCTTATGGTCCAGCTTTCACAGCCATACATTGCAACTGGGAAAACCATCGCCTTGACTAGACGCACTTTTGTTGGCAGGGTGATGGATGTCTCTGCTTTTTAGTATGCTGTGACATCACCCTGCCCTTCTACGCATTCCACTCCTGGCAAACCTATTAGAGATATAAACCACATTCTGTCTAGTTATCCAGATGCCACATAAACCAACTGGGTTTAGTTATTGTGCAATTGTTTACAGTGGACAACCTTTTGAAGGAGGCCAAAGTGGGGCACAATGGAATGGTAAAGTATGAAGACTTAGTTCAATCCATCACACTTCCTGTTGTGGACTACTGAATGACGAACAGAGAACTGGCCTATGGCGGCTCGCGGCGTTGCTTGAGGCACTTTTGAAGCTGGAATCTCTACTGCATATTTGCCTTAGCAAAATAAACGTGTTGCCTTATGATGACTGACCTGTTTTAAAATGTGCAATGAAAATATAATCTTGCTATTCAAGTGTAATATGGGATTGGCAAATTGCACTGTTCCAACAGGCAGAATACGGCCAGAACAAACTGAGCGCGCTGCATGAAACCAGGATAAACAAGCTAGCAAAAAGTGGACTAGATAGAACAATTATTGGCTATTAAACCCCAAATTGACTATTAAATCAGACACAGTTAGTGCTCATCACCTTCCCTCCACCTTCTCAAACTGGAGGGAGGGAACTTGTGGGGTGTTCCAGCAGTCAGTCCTAGGCAGAGTGCTCTGCAGCGTCTTTATGAATGATCTAGAAGAGGAAGTACAAGGAATGATAATCCAGTTTGCAGACAACACAAACTGGGTGGAATAGCCAACACCTTGGAAAGCAGAAAGATGATCCAGACTGATCTAGATAAGCTTGAACACTGGGTTGAAAACAACAGCACGAGATTCAACAGGGACAAATGCCAAGTCCTCCACCTGGGAAAGAGAAACCAGATGCATCAATACGAGATGGGGAGCACGTGGCTCAACAGTACTGAAAAAGACCTTGGCGTCATTGTGGACGGCAGGCTATTATGAGCCCACAATGTGATGCAGCCACAAAGGCAACTGCTGTTCTGGGATGCATTACCAGAAGTATCACATCCAGGTCACAAGTAGTTCCCCTATACTAGTAAGACCTCATCTGGAATACTGTGTCCAGTTCTGGGCACCAAGATTTAAGAAAGATGCAGAAAAAGTGGAAAGGGTCCAGAGGAGGGCAACAGAAAGGATCCAGTGTCTGGAAACACTGCTCTGTGAGGAGAGACTGAGAGAACAGGGCATGTCAGCCTTGAGAAGATTGAGGGGGCATACGATACCATCCTTAAAGTGCCTCAAAGGCTGTCACAAAGAGGAAGGACAAGCTCTCTCCTTGATCGAACCAGAGTGTAGGGCACAGAGTAATCCAACCCAGATTCGGGCTAGATCAGAGCAATATGACAGAGGAACCAGCTGCCTGGAGAAGTGGGGGGCTCTCAGAAAGGAACTGGACGGCCACCTGAGTGGGGTGGTGTGAATTGGTGACCTGCAGCGTCAGGGGGTTGGTCCTGACGGCTTCTTGGCCCCTTCCAACTCTGCTATTTTGTGATCCTATAATGCACCCATGTTTGTCATGACTGATCACATCTTTCATTTTCAAGATGTAGAAGTTGGGAACCGTTTTCAGTCCCCTGTGAGCTAATGCCCATCAACTGTAAGGTGGGACATCGAAGGCTACCGCGGTTGTGTGCTATTCATCCAAGCTGCATTAAGTGAACCGGTGTTCTGGATGCGTATTTTCATACTGGAGACAGCTGCTCAAAGCCATGGACACATACATAGGTTTGACGTATACAGCACACGCCTGCCAAAGGCCCATGGATGCGCGTGACTGTGTACAGCTGCTGCTTTCCCACGCCAAAAAAGGCCACCCTGCAAGAGGAGTATCTTTGTTTTAAATGCACACCCAGGCACCGCCAGCAGAGATGGCGTCCTAAGTAGACCGCTTTTCTTACAGGGGGCACATTCAGCAGTAATGCCCGTTCCAGAGGAGACAACATAATAATGCTTTTATTACATCTAGAGATGTTTTACATAAACAGGTAACATTCAATAGGGTAAACCATTTCTTTTCCAATGCATGTAATAAATATTTTCACTTGTTACTTTTATACAAACTGACATTGGTCTACTATACATTTTTTTAAAAGCCACTTTTAAAAACTTGTTTGGCATGCTGTATGGAAAACTAAGAGAAAGTCTTAAGGCAATGAATCACAGGTTTGAGTTCATGGAATTAATAGCTTTTTTCATTTTTTACTTATATACATAATGTTTTTCCCCTTTTGTTAATTAGAGCAATTAACAGCAGCACAATGGCAGTAATCTCTCAATAGAAATCTAAGCTCCCATTGGAAGGAAAATGAAAACACCATTAAAACAAACTTTTTAAAATGTCTTATGAAAAACCCTGAAATGCTTAATGCAGTGAAAAAGGTTAACCACATTAAGAGAAAATGGCTAGCTAGTTAGATGGAAGATTTTTCAGCAATATCATCTCCCAAGGGGTGACAATGTCTGTATTTTGACAGGGTGAAGAAGAAATTTGGGGATGCTGTTATGAAAATATCGCAGTACTTTGCAGCTATCACTCAGTTAAGTTTTAGCAAGGTTTCATTTTGGTTTTGCATTTAAGTTTTTTTAAACACTAACTGTGCATTCAGTAATGCCCACAGAAGTGATGTAAATCTGCTCCCCCCCCCCCACGTAATATTATTATACAGGTATCTTGCATTGGTGTGTACAGACAGACACGCACACACTTATCTATACAAAAGAGACTTACATGCAAGCAGAACATGTACACACATACAACCATCCCTCCACTGGAAAAATAAGGACCAAAAACATAAGTGAACAAGTTAAGGTATACATGAATTCTGTCTTACGGAGTCAAATTTAACAGGATGTCGAAGTAGCCAAGATTCCATGGTAACTCCACATTATAAGAAAAACAGCAATTCTCAATACCAGGTTGCTTTAAAAGGACCATGAAGCCAAAACTGAACCATTTGCTAAATAAATTTAATTATAACTGCAGGTTGTAAAAAGCCCACTAACCACACTTCAGGAAATACCTTCTCACAGTAAGCTCCTGGAGTTAAATACTTCAGATCACCAAAAGCACAAGTCTACTTGCCTTGATTTAAGAAGCCTCCCATTCTTGCTTATTATGAAGGACTTGAGAAGCGAAAGGGTTCTCAGGAAGTGCAGCCATCTTACACCTGCAGAACCCGTAAAATTAACCTTTCATGTCCATTTGGATATAGCCATGAGGCGCGCTAGAAGGAAAAGTGAGAAATAGCAGGGAGCACATTTAATTTCACAGTGCACTGAATTATCCCAAAACTGAGCCAGCCCTGCAGAGTTCTTCAGGCAGCGGGAAATATAAAGATCTTTACCAGGCACCTACAGACTGAGAAAAAAATGGACACAATCCACCACCTCCCCGCAACATGGAACATGATTCTGCTTGTGTGGATTTTTTTATTTCAAGGCAGCTAATTGTTTCCAGCAATTTTCTGCCAAGCAGCACTTAAAGCGGCACAGTGGTTCCTGCTCAGCTTTTGAAAAATTACTGGAACAATTTGGAATCACCAGTTTTTCTACTGGGTACAAAAGGATCTGGATAAAGAGGCAGATCACAAAACTCCTTAAATTATTGTACATGCAGAAAGCTCCTTCCCAATTGGTGTAGCCCAACACAGTAACATCTGCTTACATCCATGCCAAATAAATGAGTTACTGATACACTGGACTGCACCCATTGCCTTTAAATACTGTGTGGCACATGTGACAGTACAGAAGCTACAAGCACCTCCACCTTAGCATTATTTAGCATGTCAAGAAATTATCCAGACATGATACAAGCATCTAATAACAACATTTGCCTTGAGGTGAGCAAAAATAGCAGATACAAAGCCACTGGTTTTCATCACAATTGTGCCAAGTTTGGTTCCAGCAATCACACTGCTAACTTCTCAGTTGGCTTTTTAATGTTTGGAACAGTCCTTTGATTTGGAATACAATGTGGCCACATTTATAAGTTAGTTATATAAATCTGCTGAGCCAGTTTCATCCTGCTTTTGAAGAAGTTGATTTCATGTCTCCAAGCTAGACTGAACTTAGAAAGGATTCCTGTTTCCTGTCCTTTTATTTAAATTTTACTGACAATAAATTATAAACTAGCTGAAGGAAATGTATCAGCTAGACATTAATGGAACACACATGCATGGAACACATACGCACACGCACACACACGCACACCTATAAATACATATATACACACACACGCACATATATACATATGAACAAACATTTTCAAAATTCAAGTCACCTTTTAAATGGCAAGGGGATACGTTTATAGAAAATCCACTTGAACATTTATGCAGTCTCTCCACTGGCTATCAAAAATGATAATTTATGATTTATGATCAGTATAAGGTTTTGCTAAATGAGGGAGTTGAAAACGCTTTGGAAAAAGTATTAACTTTTGCAGGCATGGTTCAAAACAACTGGAAAACATGCTTTTGATAAAAACTGACAAAAAGCCACTGGGCTTGGCCTACCTCTGTCCTTCCCTCCGAGCCATTCCTGATCCTTTGCAAGTCCAGGTTGTAACCACAGGCTAATAAAGCTTTTTCACACCAGAAAGCAAATACACCTTCCAGTGAAGGTTTGGGGATCCATCCAAGTCCTTCCCTAGTGTATCTTTCAAGATACTCCCCTCCCTTTTTTCATGCTTTGCGAGCCAGATTTGGAGAGAGATTTTTCTCTGTAGGTATCCGTGTCTCAAGGCAGGGAAAAATCCAGATTCTAAGGGAGGACCAGAAACAGCTTCAGGGGTTTGTCATGAAGAGATGGCAAAGTAATTCGACCACCACTGAAGCTAGTAATGGTGTAGGATAGGGGAAGACTGGCTCATCTGACGTATTTCTGCGATAGTTGAAGCAGGAAAAGGAAGGACGTTGAAGTCATAATTTAAAAGAGTCGCACAGAGCTTTGTCCACTGGCAAAGCCCAGTCATGTGCAAGTTTACTCAAAACTCAGTCCCACTGAATTAAGGAAGTGAGACTTGCTTCCAAGCAAAGGTGTGCAGGATTGGGCCATATATCCTTTGCAGAAAAGAACAGGATGTACTCGTGTCATTGCCCGCTGCAAAACATACTGATTTCAATCACATTATTTCCTAAGTTTGGATAGGCTTATTCTGGTTAGCACAGGCAGTAGGTATTCGGCCAACCAATTTTCAAAAATCCCAAGGAATAAGCATTTAGTACCTAAACATAATGTTACATTTAAGCATCGAAGCACATGAATAAAGAGGTCTTTACTGGCAGCTCGAGTCTCGGAACCAATTTGGTCTCATGCAGAAGAGGAGGACTCCCAATGGCAAGCCTTTAACATGCAAGAGGTCTGTAGAACCAGATCTGTGAAGAGGACTGGCACATACTAAGGAAACGGTGCTGGGACCAATGGATCAATGCAGGAAGCACTGCACGGACTTCCAGAACAGGAAACGACAACCAAAAAGCCACGTGCAGGGGACACACAGACCGTGTGATGGAATCCATGCGACTCGGGGATGCGATTCATGCTAGCCGAGCGGGAAAGGGCAAGGCACAAGGCGCATCCCTTTCAAGGAGGCTGTGCGGGGGATCCCTTTTGAGGGGGCTGCGCCAAAGGGAGGAACAGTTCCCCCCCCACCCCGTTACTGCAGGGCTGCCTTCTCCTGGACCATGAGTCCTCGCCTGACTTACTCCAAACATTCCACCTCTGTTCCATTAGTATCTCTGTGAACAAACCAAGAGTTATGCAAGTAAAAGACGGATTTTTTAAAAAGCAAACGCTAAAGACAAAAAGGGAGGTGTAAAATCTTCCATATCCAAAAACTAGGCTGGGAGTTTTTCTTTTTAGTTTTACCAGTCAAACCATCATCTATTTATATACAAAAGTACAACTGAAAATATAGTTTTGTTCTCTGTACATGTCTTATTATTTTTCCCTACAAAAAGGAAATGCTCATCTGCAATTCTAAACAAAATAAGGTAAAACAGAAACCCAGATCTTTCCTCCAGCAAGTCCAGGAGCACCTCGGCAGCACTCAGTCCAAGGAGATGATGTCCGGGATCACGCCGAAGAGGGACGCTGGGTCCGTACTGCTTCGGTTCGCGACGGGGAGGCTGTGGGTCTCTCGCAGGCTGTTGGAGGACACGAGGCTACTGTTGCTCCCGCTGCTGCTGCTGTTTGTGCCGGGGAGGGCGCTGCTCCCTCCTGTGTTCAGCTGATCGAGGAACATCTGGGATGAGGTGTAGGGGAAAAAGCGGGAGTGCAAGAGTTCTTGATCATCTGAAGCGGACACGGCAGCGGCGGCGGCAGCCAGAAGGGAAGTGCTGTAATGCTGGAGGAGGAGAGGAGATTTTGGCAGGAGGCACCGAGGGCTGGCTCTGCTACTAAACCAACCCATGAGGGAATTAAACATGCTTGCAGGAAGTTCAGCTTGGCCGTCGCTTAGGAAATCGTGAAACGCGACCTCTGGAAAAATCAGGGGCAGAGCAAAAGCTGCAGCGAGTGGAAAGGAGGGAGCCAATGACTGTCTTCCCAAAGTGTTGTTTGGGCACCTGGAAGATGACTGTCGGATGGGATCGACAAGAGCAGCCAGGAGGTCCTGCCTCTCCTGCTGAGCACTTGCTTGCCCCTTCTCTGGATCCATGATGGCCACCACAGAAACCCACCATGGGTTCAGCAACTGCTGGCAAGCCATGCGTTGTCTGGGCGGCTTTCTGCCCACGAGCAAGCAGGAAAATGGGCCAGGTTCGCCCAACACGATGACTTGCCTTGGTGGGTTCCAGTTCCATGCCAGCCCATTCAACATTTCTCAGTGCAGTCTTTGCTGTGCCTAATTCTAGATCATCCAGGACTGGATCCCAGTGCTGGAATGCGTTCCCACACAGAGATCCTAGCGTATGGAGAATCATTCAACATCTCGTTTATTGACTTTGGAAATTTGACATTTTAGTTAAAACCCTGCTGGATCAGACCAAAGTCCAGCCTTCGGTTCCCGCAGCAACCAACCAGTGCGGTGCAGTGGCTAAAAAGTGCAGGGCCAGGACTCAGGCGATCCGGGTTCGAGTCCCCGCTCGACCTTGGAGCCAACTGGGTGGCTTGGGGCCAGTCACAGACTCTCAGCCCAACCTACCTCACAGGGTTCTTGTTGTGGGGATAAGATGGAGACTAGGAAGAGGGAAATTATGTGGCTGACTTCCTGGTTTATGTAAGCCACTATCATCACATAGGAAAAAAGCTGGATATAAACTTATAAATAAATTAATTAAAAAAGCAGACACTTCCATGGGAAGTCCGTAAGGAGGTGTACACTCCATCCCTGTGTTCCCCAGCAACTGATTGCCACTGCATTCTACCCCCGACACTGGAGGAGGTAAGCAGTGGCCTTTATGACGAGTTGCCATGGGAAATAAAATTCAGCTCAAAACTTAATTTGACTTAAATGATGTTTAAACTGGTTAGAAAAGGGGCTGATTTTAATTAAGTTTGCCCACTGAAACTCTTTCATATTATTTCCTGAATGTGCACTTTTAACTATTAAGATATGTTAATTTACAACTCAATAGATTTACTATGGTTTATTCTTGCAAGCAAGTTCTGCATTTTTTTCCCTCACTGTGTTTATTTCACATGGTTCTTTTAACCTGTAAAGGGAATGTTGCCACCTTTAAGCCCTCGTGGGTACTGGTCGTAAAGTTAACCCTGCATGCTAATCCGATGCGTGTCCACTCCGAAATCCATTCTGCTGCGTCCAGCAGGGCTGATTTCCTTCCGTGCAAGTGGCGCGAAGGCTGCAGCTCCAGAACGCCGTCCTGCTCGTGCCAGAACACAAACCAGCCCGGCACTTCTGGGCGCCCCTCCAGCCAGCCATGCAGGCCGGGGCATGCTGGGAACCGGCTCAGCGTGTGCATCTTTATTGTGGGAACGCCCAGCACCCGGGACCGCTCCCTTTTTTTCCTGGCGCCGCTGCTGCCACTACCTTGAAAACTAACTAGGAAGCAAAATCTAAGCAGGAAACAAAAATGAAACGCCCACAATAGGTTGAAACACGGTCTGAGAGCTACTGGGCAAGCTGGAGCAGCTTCTTTTCACTGGGTGAACATGAAATGCAATTCTTTGGCAACAGAATTCCTATTGGGACTTTATCGGACTGGTTCTTGGGGTAGAAAGGCCTCCTTTAATTCCATTTTGGAACCGACTAACTGGCCAGCCTGCTTATTTAAGGCAAGTTTTGCATTTTTAATCTGATTCTTACAAAGCAAAATACCATCTTCACCTATCAGGCTCTGTTGTCTTTTTGTTTCAACTCAGCAGCTTTGCTTGGCTCAGCACTGTTTACAAGGCAGTGCTGCAAAGCAACCGTATCCCAGCCAGGACTCCGCACCATGGACTTCCTCTCAGAAAAAGAAACCAGAAGCCCAGCGCTGCCACACCTGGCAGGTAGGCCAGACAGAGCTGCTTCTGTAAGATGAAAGGCTAAACCGGATGCTCATGCTGGACCAGAATGGCCACCAGTGCATGGGTGTAGCAGCCACGGGACTCAAAGTGCAGGCTTTGCACGCTTACAATGAAATGTGTGTCATTTTTTAAGGCTGCAAGAAATTTAGAATTAAAACACAATTAAAATCCAAATATTAAAAAATTAAAAACACTGGGTTTTCCTCTTTAAAAGTTCTTTTGATTCAATCTGTTTAAAACTGTTCCTGTGTTATTTACCATCCTCCCACCAACACTGACCTGATTGTCTCCTGGTAAGAAAGAAAAGAAGTCCAAACCTGTGGAAAGCAGAACAAAAAGCATTTCATTTCCTCAAAAGACACACCCAGACAAGCAGCTTTAACCAGAATGCATCTCAGAGAATTCTAATATCCAGGGCTTGATCCAACCCTAATTTGGAGTTTTCCCAAAGGGAGCTAAGAATTCGCTTTCAGGAACAAAGCAGACAAACATAACTGCAATCTCTGAGCATATGCAAAGTGCACAATGATCACATTCTGCTATTAACCCTGATCTTACCCTACAACAAGGAGCAGCAATGACTGCATCACAACAGTCATAATGACAACCTGGTATTTTAAGTGGCAACAACAGGGCAACCCACATTCAAGGACCGAGAACGGGTTGGATGCGGGGTTTTGCCAAACTGCGGGTTATCACGTTGCCTGAGCCCCAGCCTCACTAACCACAAGCAACTCATAGCTGACAGCCCAGAAAAACCCTGTATGGTCTTTTCATGGGTTGTTCACAGTTAACAAGCCATAGTTTGCTAGCGCAGGCTGAGTCCAAACAAGATGATACCACACCATTCAACAATAACCCACACGTCAACAACAACCTGGGCTCAACCCTTGAGCGAATTATATTGTCTGCATCCCGTTTTGCACACAGAAGATCCTGGGCAGAATTCCTAGCCTCTCCAGTTAAAAAAGACTGAAGTAACAAGACTGGGAAAGGCCCGTCCCACCGGTCCTGCTCGGTCACGGAACCGCTCCTTCTCTGTGACTCCCCGTCCAGCGCAGACACGAACCTACCTTGGAGGTCGTAAGGCATGGGCGTCATGTGGAACGGGTGCCTGTAGTCCTGGATGAGCGACGTGTTGATGTAGTTTGTGTCGACGGCTGGAAGGCTTGGGGTTCTTGAAACAGGAGAGACTTGGTGCGGCAGATTTAGGATGCTACGAAACAGAAATGGAAGCCTGAGACCGCAAAGCCCGCGGCAGTGAGAGCAGGGCTACTGGCACGTCCCTCTTCCGGACTGCACAAGGGAGAGCAACCCTGTGCCAACGTTTCTATCAGGTGGCCCAAAGGCCGTGTTTGCTCCCCCGACACCATCACATAAACGGCCAACTACAGCATGTCCATGAAGTGCAGAAGTGAAACGGATGCTCCATTTAACCAGGGCATCTGGATGTGCTCCTGCAAGCTGGGCGTTAAAACCTCCCTTGGCTTCCTTGCCTACCATCTCCATTCTCACCAAGGCTCAGCACGTTTGGAAGGAGACAGCAAGGAACTGCCTGGCTCAGGCTCTCCGTAAACGAAAACCCAAACGGGCACACGGAGTAATGGCTCGCAACACTCCCGCACACAACTGCAGCAAATGCACACACCCTCCTGCACGCACCCCCGTGGAGCCGATTTCCTCCAGTCTACCTCACAGAAGAGGCTTCGGACAGCGGCGTGCTGCGTTCCCAGCCCAGCCAGCGCCTCCTCACCTCTTGCTGTTAACGGGGGACGTGGGAGACAGGGATGGGCAGCTCCTCTTGGCCGAGGGTTCCTCCTCCTCCTCATCGGACGAGCTGTCCACGGTTAGGTCGATCACCTCCACTTTCCTATTTTTGGTTGACTGATGTGAAGAGACCTGATGATCCACTGGAGAACTTAAGCAGCCTAGGAAGAGACCAGCCAGATGCTGAACTCCCAGTTCAAACATTCAGGGCACGTCAAGGTGGAGGCAAGTACCACGGGGCACAGGGATGAATCAGGCCCTCACAAAACAAGGCCATCATCATCCACCAGGACAAGCTAGAAGGCTGGGACAGCAGTTGACACACAACTGGACACTCACCTTCCACTCCGTTGAAAGATGTGTTCACCTCCTGTGCCTCTTTTTTTGCCCTCATGGGAGCCCATGACCCATCTTCTTTAAACTGAATTTCGTCACAATCGGTGCAATGCTTCAAGATTTCCATAAACAACCTATGAAAAAGCCTCCTTAGAAATCATACGGGAATACAAAGGGATTTTATATGGTAACGTTTGGCCCTCAAAGGCAATTATGGAGAGGGTGTCCATGCTCAGAGCAGTGCTTCCATTTTGGGTTCGCACAGGGACTCACCCATCAATTATCAGGTGTTCGTAAGGTGCTCTCTTGTCACACACGGGGCAAACCCAGGTGGGCTTCTTCTCGTTCATTTGAATATACAAAGTGGCATCAAAGCACTGCAGATGCGAACAGGTCAGGGACCTGCAGGGTATCGCTAGCCGCATTTTACCAAGCTTTTAAAAGAAAAACAACCAACTGTAAGCGAAAGATTATTATTGTTTTCATTCTCGCAACAGCAGCCCTGCATTTCCAAGTTTCCAAGATATCAAGACGCCAATACCCAGAGCATTATTTACGAAGTCCAGAGGCCTTCGAAGAGTGGCAAGATGCCTCACTTTATACAATGAGGAAGCAATCCCCCTGAAAGTCCTTGTGTGCTTTGGCAGATCACCATTGAACACGGAGGACCTCTGCTTCGTGTCATGCAAAGCAACTAACTGCAGGTTTTCATCATTGTTCAGGCTGCTAGAATAACACTCTCATTACAAGGAAGGCAGTGATGGCACAGGGCACTTACTGGGCACAGAAGAGAAACTCTTAAGCTGGTTGTTGCTATTTCACTGTCAGGATCCGCAGTTAGTTTCTCTTTGACTGTCAAGGGAAGAAAGACAAGAAGAAAATAAAACAGAAATGCCATTACAAGGAGTCACAAGCAAAAGCAGAAGAGGAAGTGAAGCTGGCAAGCTGAGCAGCAGGGGAATCCTAACAGAAGAAATGGTCACTATTCAGAGAGAGACATCAACATGGCTGGAAATCTATCAGGGCTGACCTGTGGAAGCACCACGAAATACCAGGCCTGCCCAACTGGCTATTCCCTGAGGGGTACTGAGGATGAGAGAAGAAGGGAGGGAGGGAGGGTGTTCAAGGTGGACATGGGCTTCCTAATTCTGTGAAGAATATACAAGAAATGGGAAGTGTGGTAAACACAGTCCTGGTCCGAGCCTGTCTTGAGAAAAAGGGGATACAGGTGGAACACACAGAAACTCAGCGTGTGCCCTCACACACCTGCTTGCAAACTGCAGCAGTCCCTGACTCAGCACAGGCCTCCATTCTCTCCCACTCAGGAACTTTCCAGGTAAGGTGGTTCCTTACTCGGATGAGGGGCTTCACGGAACCTGGCTTTGGTGTAGTTTCCCTCTGTGAGTGGAAAACTTGCAGAGTCTGTCCTTCGTTTTAGAGACTCTGAGACGCTGCGAGCCCTCCGGAGAGAGCGATGGCCAGGGACCGAGCGAGGGGGAGCCACCAGCGCTGGTCCCTGCGGGCGGCTAACACCGGCCACCCAGCCAGCTGCCAAGCACTTTCCTCTCAGTTGTTTTACATGGGAGGTTTGGACACAGCAGACATACTTAGTGCTCTAGAGTGGTCCGGGTTCCGTATGCCTTTTGCTCGCAACCTCTGCAGCAGCACAGTCGAAGACAGTTGTTTGACAAGGTAGACTGCCATGGAATACGTCTGGAGCGGGGGAAAGAGAACGAGAATCGAATCAGCTTGGTCAGTTGAAATGATTGCCCTTCAAATTTTCAAATTCCCACAGTTTTCCAGACTTGATGAACCAGGAGCAAAAATCACTGACAACACCTGTGTTATGAAACTCTTGCACAATTTGCGCTCTTGTCCATGCAGACTGTAAGGATCTCAGATGCTCTGGCATGCAGTGAAGGCCTTTTCCATTTTTTGAAAGATCAGACTTAGTGTGACGTAGCGGAGATGTAAAAGGCATGCATTATATGGAACCTTTGTTCTTGTAGTTTTCCAAGTTACCTGTAGTCGACACTGAATTCTGGACAGCATCATCATAAAAACAGCCCCAAAGAGACATATTAGATTGGGCAGAATCTGCTTTTGATTTCCACTGCACTTCCTTGGCTTAGCTCCCTGGCGTCCAGCCCCTTTCTCACTGCCTTAAGTGTGCCGTAGGCAAAGTGTCTGCGTGGGCCTCTGGCAGAAAGCGTGTCAGTGAGACCAGCTTGTGCGCAGGCTGCCCCCATGCCCATGAACCCCAAGTGGAGTTCGGCTGCGTACGTGGCTTCTGGGCTTTGTGTACATTGCACAAGGAATTACATACTTGGCGTAACTTGTGCAAAAACCTCTCATGTTCCCGAACGTCAAGACTTGGGCCTTGACACAGCTCGCTTCCTGGCCAGGGACAAACATGGGAAAGAAGTCCAGCAAGCGCAAGATCGCCAGATTCTGGCCCGATCTTCGCATCCTTAATGATGAGATGCAATTGGGGAAATTCAGTGTGCTCAACGCCGTATTACAGAGCTTCCTGGTTGATAACAACATGGGAGGGGATGCCTGGCTTTGCGGGTCATCTCAAGAGGACTGTTCTGGACCCTTTCCTAGCTAGAATGGCAAGCTAGGATTTGTTCACATTTCCTAGCTTGTTTGATGGCAAGAAGCCAGAAGTGACTGAAATCTGTTCTGAAGTGACTGGAATCTTTGGACTTTAAAGTTCTCCCTTACACATGTGCACATATGCTCACACATGAACACACACACACACATTTTTCATCAACCCCCAAAAATTGATGTGCAGCTGCTACAAATTAAGCTGCAGTGAACTAACAATGTAACTTTTTCTAAGGTCAATCCAAATATAGAAACCAGACAGCACAGAAAAATACAGAAATTATACCCCTTCTAAAACCAGAACACATCTATGCATGAAAACCACATAAATGGATGGGTGGGTAAATGAATAAATTTCGCTTCAAATACACTTCCATGAAGTTAGCTCCATCCAGGACTGTGACTAATTCCATTCCAGCACTTTCCATCGGCCAATCGTTCCAAGCAGTGAGAAAGTTACCCTTCAAAAGCATCTCGAAAAGCGACCGAGGCATGTTGGTGGGATGCCCTGATAAAGCTTCAGCAGATGCTTGCCTGATTCACATTTTTCAAGAAACCTACTCACAATTCACACTTCCCCGACTAACACTGGACTGCGTTGCTACTCCAAATTATACACTGCGGCTCTTGGCTCCAAAATTATGTTCAAAAAGTAACATACGGGGGAAGCTGTGTACGAACATGTATTTTCATGTCACTTTAAAGAAGAAGACGAGGCTGATGCGAAAACTGGACAGAACTGATTTGTGACTGAAAGTATGTGAAGCAGATACAGGCCAGCTATAGAGCCCTGGTCCTGTAAGCGTGATTTGTGTTCAAGATGCTTTGTGTGACAGCCTTCCTCACATGCTGTTTCAGATAAGATTTAAAGGTGTATTTACTTTTATGTTTTGAATCTGGGTTTTTGCAGATGTGCTTGAACCGAACAGCCCAAACTTGTTTTCGTTCAAGTGCATGCGTGCACCTTACCAGCCCTTCCTATTACTGGGGTGCCCATATTTGCGTCCATGCTATGAAACTCTGACCAACGTAACTCAGATCCACACATACCTTTTCCACAGTAGCAGAAGACACATTTAACAACATCAAACAAGTCATCTTCGCATGTGATAGTCTCAAACAATTTGGTTAGAGAAAGGCATGTCTGCTGCCTTGTGTGAAAACCTCAAAACAAGTCAAAAGTGGGAGCATAGCACCGGTTAATTTTTTAAAAACAGGTTTGGGGTGTCCAGGGTTGTCTGGAAATCACACAGGTTGCTCTGAAAGGCTTGATCTCTTAAGCTCAGCTCTCTCAAGATAAGGGAGGGATCCTGGCCCATTCTGATTCCCATTCAAGGCAAATATGAGCAGCTCTGTATTTCTGCAAGGATAAACATTCCAGGAAGGAGGCGGTAGCCCCAGTTAGAAAACAGCCATTCCTTCCGCTGTTCATCAAGACTGCTTGGTAACTTATTTGGAAATGTTTTTCACCAACCCTGCAGAGAGCTGTAGCATGTTTGTTTAACACTTCAGCTAGGGCCAAAAACGAAACTACTAATTAACAGTGTAATGTTGTTTACCTGAGTGTTAGGATTTACAGAGTGAGAACTTATCCAAACAAAGTTTTACTTAAGTCTGATTAAAAACACAGTGTGGAAGCTGGGCTGACAAGGCTATCTCTTTATTTGAACTGGGTTGATAAAGACTGGAAATCCAGGGTTTAAAGTCCCAAATGGAATTGCATGATTAGTAATTATGGCACCTGATAGAAATAACGACTAATACCAGAGGGATGTCCATTTGAGCCCGTGGCAACAAAAGCTAATATACACTCGCGGCATCTTAAAGGCTATGGGGGTTTACAGAGAATGCCTGTGCATGTTCACTCAGAAGTCAAGCCCGTTCCTGTCAAAGGGGGGGTGATCCCTGGTAAGTGTGTTTAGGATGGCCGTTCCCATATGCCACACAACACTTCCTCAACAGAATGAGCACGTGTTGCTTATGGCAGCCTGAAGAGGGTCATTAAAACAAATCTGCCTTTATCACACAGATGTGTAGAGGAGAAATGCCAGGGAGGCTGGCAGAAGGGCAAAGCTCTCTGTCCCTCATCCAGCAGCCCACCAAGTTGTGGTGCGGGCTGCCGGGAGAGCTCCTGTCTTCCTCCTGCCAGTACAGAAACCACATGGGCTGGCAGCCAAGGAATGGGATGACCCACCACTCCTCCACCTGGCTACACAAAACAGGCAACTTGCAGCCCCCAGGTATGCTGGCCTAAAACTCAGCAACTGTGGCCAGCATAGCCATAAGGAAAGGATGAGGGGAGCTGCTGGGCAAAGCACCTGTAGAGCCTGAGGCTGTCCACCCTGGCCCTGGATGGCTTTCCTCGCTGCCTATGGCAATCCGGCCAGTGCTAACATCGACTCTGAGCGTTAACCTCGTGGTGCTATGGAGACAAAGCACCAGGCCCTGCCTGTTCCAGGGCTTAACTGTGTTACCTGAAAGCTCTGCACGTCCAGCCTTCCCTCCGCCCCACTTCCTGGCTAGTCATCTAGTGTTTCGGTGTCCAATCTTTCAGTGTGCAAAACCTCCGCACTTTTTTTGATAGACTGCAATCAAATTCCTGTTCCCAAGTCTCAAACAGGACTAAGACCTGGCCAGTACATAAAATGCCTGAAAAAACTATTAATACCAGGAGTGCACCTGCCCACCGTGTCCCTAGCTGTGTGTGGTCGTCTTCTCCCTATCAACGAACCCAGTACAGAAGAACGTTACTCACTCGTCCGATTTCTGCTGTCCATGAGACAACAATTGTGTTTGGTACTGTTGTGGATAGTCGAACAAGCGAAGTGATGTTGATTGGTCTGCTGGGTCGCTTTGGTTCAACCCCATTCTTAGTTGGTGGAAGATAGCCCTGGAACGCCACAACACACACCATCACCGTTATGAAAACACTACACATGCAAAACTGCTTCCGCCCTTTATCTTTTTTTGCGCCCAAGCAGGTCATCCTGCCCCGCCTTATCTCAAGATCCAGTCTTCAGCCCTTCTCCCTTCTTCCCCTATCGCCCAAGCCCACCATGGCCAGAAAGCCGCAACCAGCCCCGCCCCACACACAACCGTCTCGCCCAGTCTTCTCAGAGCAGAAAACAGGGCAAGGGGAATGGTGGAAAGTCCCTCTCAAAACCTTGCACCCCGAGCTCGTTTCATCTCCCCAGACCCTGATCCATGCCGCGGAGGGGCTGGGAAGCAGCCTAATGGGAAACAGAAGCCACAGCGCTTCTCCCGCATGCCACCTGCTGCACCTTTGAGCTACGAAGCCACTGAAAGGGATGCTGTAAATTATTCAGCTCAACTTATCACTACGCAGCCCGATATGTGGGCCGGTGTTCTGCTCCATCACAGTGGTCAGATTCTGGGAATACTCACAGGAAGGCTACACGGTTTTCCATTAACTTTCACACACAGATTTGGCGGGAAGTGATCTTCCTGTGGACAACTGGTTTCAGATAAGCAAAACCTAAAGACAAGACAAGATGGACGATGTTTATATGAAATGCCGTGCGTGGGCTTTTGTGAAGGTCAAATGATGGGGAGCTGTGCCTTTTCATAGTGGTTAACTATGACCCAGTAAGGTGTCAGAGGAAGTCTGGAAGGGACGCTACATCAACCCTACTTTGCAACCCACTGCTAAGTGTTCAGGACCTATGGCACCTTCGACAAGCACCTTTCTCCGAAACAGAAGGTTTGCGTATCCCTGCCTTATCGAGAGGCTTCCCTGTTCATTTCAACAGAGGGCATCCATGGTATGTGCAACAGAATCACTCTGCGATGCACCCTCTGCGCAGAACCAAATGCCACCGCGCACTCAGTCGTGGGGTGTCAAAGAAGGCTGACTGTCCTGCCAGAGAGGTAGGACTGCTTCATGCATGCACTGGACTGGGGTGACTGCGCCTCTGAAGTGAATTGCCCTGGTCTGAAAGAAGCTTTGCTTAAAACCCTCAACCTCACACCCAGTGATATTCTTTCCCATTCGGTCCTCTTCCACCTCCAGAGCTGCAGCAGCTCTCCCAAGTTACAGCAGTTCCTGCGGTCACATTCCAGTGAAGCAGATTCCAATGCTATCTCCCCCCCCCCCCCCGCCACCCATTATCAATACTGCTTGTTCAACAGAGCACAAGCAAAGTTAGGGCACCTGGCCACGCAAGCCACTAGCCAAAAAGGGCAGGTGTTGTATAATTCACTGGAAGGAGCTGCCACTTCCCTTTCACAGACACCAAGGTGAAAGTAATCCCATGCCCCAAACAAATGCGATGCCATCTCCACGTGGCCTATGAGGGGGACGGAAGGAATGTTCGGTTTCCCCCACCACGAAATACAAACCGTGGGGATGAACGGATAGGCTGAAGTAGCTAGGCTGAGAGCAGAATTACGCAGAAATCTGTTCAGTGGAAATGCTGCCCTGTGTCTGCTTTTATGGAATCTAGAGAACAGGGGCATTGATTCATGGTGGGGAGAGCAACTGGGGAAGAAGCACATACGATTCAGGCTAGTGAGGTGAGGAAGCATGCCAGATGCAGTTCCTTTGCCAAGACCAGAGAGGCAGAACCCACAGGAAATGGCATAATTCTTGGGGACGTTCGAGCTCACTGATCATTTAGAAATGCCCACTTGGCGGCATCCAGCACTCCCAACGTTGCAGGGGCCCCTCTGCTGCGGGGAGTGCAAACACGCACAAGCACAAGTCCTCCTTTGGCTGGACAGGTACAAATTAAGCAAAGGCACAGGCGTTTCTCCCGCCACAGGAAAGTAAAAAGAGCACCGGAAATAATGAAGAAAGCTCCCATGTCTGTTTCCCTGTCCTACTGGGGAAGGCAGGGAAAAGCCAGTCCCAAAGCGCTGGTTTCTTTTCACAATCTTGGGAAACAGTCATGCGATACGCACTTATGTATGCAGACATTCACAGGCTGCAAAATCTGTACAGGTTGCAGATTTCTGCTTTTCTTGGTACATAAGAGGGAGGGGGGTGCTCTGCCAGTTTGGGTATTAGAGGACAGGAAAGCAATACCTTAGCTGGACTTGCACCGTGAAGTCACATTTTGTTCCAGAAATGTCCCTGGCAAAGAGAGTAGAGAAAGGTTAAAGATGGGGCAACCAAAGATTTGAGCATTAGAGGCTTGGGATGTTAAAAAGATACCCCGGCCTTTGCTGACACGCTGCCCGGACAAGCGGCCTGGCTCGCACCATCCCACCTGGCCAATCCAGCCTCTCCAGGGTGCCTGAACGTCACAATTCTGGGGCAAGCAACCTCTGCTGTATTTCCAGTAACTTGCATTGCTTTGTCGGATAATGAAAGTACGACACATGATGGAAATTAATTAAAACATTCAAGTCAGCTTTAGGCCCGTGCCTCTAGGCATCACTCCAGATACCTGAGGGCAATGAACTCTAAAGGGTTTCCATGTGCCAACCATGTGCAAGGGAACAGAAAGGGACTGGCTGCATAGGCCAGGGAAACCCATCTTGAGATGCTGCCCATTGTGTATGTACGTCGCGCGACTGAGACCGATTCCGACAGGGTGGCTTGTTCGAGGGAACAACCCTGACAACCCATGGCTTATGCTCGGCTGCTTGTATGCACAATGGGCTGTGGTGTCACCCAAATCCGGGCAACCCTCCCCACTGCGGGTACCAGGAATCAGCTGACTCCTCACTTGGCAAAAGCTGCAAAACGCCTTGCTGTTCTGGCCAAACGGCCCGGGCATCCACCAGCGCTGGCCCCCCACAAGTGGCAAAGCAACTGACGGCTGGGCGGCGCTGCCTTGCTGCTCTCTCCCGGTAATCCTGAGGTGATTTCAGCTCCCCACAGCCTTTCTGAACTTTTCCTCTCCCTCTCCCTCTCCGGATCACAAAAACCATCTGGATGAACACAGGCAGCCCCTTCAAAGTGACTGAGGACCACCCTGGAGGGTCTATTAGTGGCTGGCAGGATGATTAAAATGTGCAAAGATGTGTGCAAATAAATTCTTCTTCATCATCATCATCGCTGCTGCATTTGTGCAAGTGAGGGAATCTGTCAGAAGGTGAGCTGTCAAGTGATCTTGGGAACGAATTTAGTGTGATTTACTCCCATTTTATGACACCGAACCATCTTCAGGGTGAGGCCCAATCTGCACTTTCCCCCCAAGACTCCAGGGAAAGTGCAAAAGCGCCAATCCCCCGACACACACCTTTTCTGGGGGGAAAATGGATTTGACAGCTACCTGTCCAAACTCGAGGTTCCCTTTAAAGGGGGCTTTCGGTAGACACGGCTGACCATGACTAAGCACGTGACCAGCATCCCCAAACCCCGCTGAAAACTGGGCCAATGCAACCGAACCCCCACAGCCCACATCACTTTCTTAAGCCCCTTAACACTTGCCACACACAATTTGCAATACTGCAGTTGTGTGTTTCTTAAGGTATTTTAGCGTTTAAATAGTACTTAAAGATCACAAGAACTTACATGGAACTGCTTATCTGCTGCACTTGCTGCGGAGTCAAGGCGAATGCAAAGCAGGTTTCTCGAAACCGCTGGCTGTTATCTGAGGCTGTGGGAAGAAAAGAGAAGACTGAGCATATGGACTAAATAAGGCCATCTGAAGACATTTATTCAAGCAAGAGGAAGACTCACTTTATCCACATTTTTGGAAAATATGTATGGGAGTCTCTACAGCCACATCTAAAAATCTATGAAGATTTACCTTTGGTTCAGGTTTCACCTATAATCAGGAAGAAGATTCACAGCTTCACAAATTTACTAGAAACAGAGGCTTCTCTCAAAGATTAATTCTTACCTTTCCGTTCAAAAGAAACGAAGGTCTGCTTCCAAAGATACTTTCCAAGGTTGAGAAAATAAATTCACAAGGAACTGCCAAAGTTAGCCATTCAGAAAAGGAGAATTTGACAAAGATAATTTAAAGGAAAAATCTTAAGAACAGATGAATCTTAGGAGTACACCCACACAATGAACTTTAAGAGGCCAGAGACATTTCAAAACATTATTGTAACTGGTAATTCTAAGCTGGATGCTATGAGGTAAAATGGAACAGTTTAGAATGGGCAGGTTTAAATCAAGCCAATTTAAATTACCGATTAATTAATTTAAAATCGGTAATTTACTGGCCCCTGGCCAGTATCTGAGAGACCCCAGAGTTTTTGGATTCCCAGTTCCAATTCTGAGGCTGGGTATCAGAGCTCCAACTCCTCACATCCGAGGTGGAAAAAAGTACCAGATGTTTTCCAAAGTCAAGAAAGTGACCAAAGCGCGATATCCAGGAGAAAACAGGGGCTCCACTCAATACAGTAATACTTCAGAACAGAACATGTGTGATATTGCATTGGCTATGTGGTAATATAGGGATCTGGACAAATGTGTCCTGGTTCCAGAGTTACATGTTTCTGCTTCACTCTACCTTGATTGCACCCCACAGTCAAAAAACAAAGTACCAAATAAAACTGAGAGAGCTTTGCCTATTGGGGAGTACAGAAATTAATAAATACATTAATTAAATGCCCATGACTGCTAGGTCAAAGACAGGTATAACAGTTCCTGGGTAGATTACAGATGTTTATTTTCATCTGCTGCAAATAAAATGCCTAGATGTGGTAGGTTAAAAATATTGACATTTGAGAAGTGATCAAATTGGTTCTCCTTGTACATAAAACTGCTTCCTTTACCTCCATATGAAGAAGGCATCAATTTAGTTTAGACACTAACTATACGGTTAACATGCTTCTACTGACATCCAATATTAAGTAGACTGTATCTAAAAAGAAAGCGATAGTCGTTGTTGTTTTGAAGTTCAACACTGTAATCTAAAAAACGACATCTATGTAAATCACTGATTTCTATCATCCCTGGCACAGTCTGCATGTCATTCAGGATTTTTAAGACAGCTCCTTAAACTGCTTTTTTCTGCATGAAACCCATTTTGAACTGTCTGGATGTATTATTTCAGCAATTTTATTCCCTGCTAATTTAGAATGCGGAACCCTACCAATTAATTCACAGTATGCTGATTACAACCCAAATTCCCAGATCTTCTGATTCAGAGTGAGGCTTTGAGTGCATATTATCAGTTCCAATACCAGTTAAAACAAGTTCTGATGGTACAAGTCAACAAAGAGCTGGCTGTACAAAAAGGGATGGTGTAAACTTGACCAATAAGATACTTTAATAAAATACAAAAAAGGTCTCACTAGAAACGAAAATGTTTTCCTCTCTTAGCTAGCCTCAGTGAAAGGCAGAGTAATAGAATACCAGATACACCCCTTTTGGAGCCAAACTATTACAAGGCTCTTCTTTCAGATCATTCATGACTACCATAAGGCTTTTACAACCTGCATCCCGGGATCAAGACCCCACCATTCCACAAGCAAAGGTTTAGATAAAGGTGAGCTGGCAAGCGGCGTCCTTTACGGGAAGTGAAAGCAAAAACCATATTCCTTGTTGTAAGAGGGAACTGAAAATAAGCCAAATTTTCAGTTATAAAAATATATTATTCATCAAGATGGAAGGTAGCCAGTATGCTCGAGTCAAAAGCAATCCTCCTGGGGAAATGCCCAAGAAGTCCTTTTATAGCCAGAAGAAGGAATGAGAAGGATTCAGGCGCTGCTATTGCTTATCCTTTAACACTGCAGCCTGTTTTGGGGACCTGGCTAATAAAAAGTAAGGTATTAACAGACCACATTTCTATTACTGTGAAATACTTATTTATGGAGGAAGTACGCAATTTAATGGACAACAGGCTCAAGGTCGCACAGTGAGGGCTGTGAACCGAACATCCTTCTGGCTCAAGCCCTACACTGTGCCCTCTGGATTACGCAAGCCCCCCTTTTTTAGGCATATTGCAGTACACACATGTGAAAAGTACAAATGCACAGGCTTGGTGCGGTATAGGAAAGAGAGCGGCGTGATTCCCCAAAAGATGTTAGATGTGTATGTAAATTTATGTAAACTACGTACATTTAAGATTGGGGTTAAAAGATGCAATTGTAGCTAGAGAAGAAAAATGTCTGAAGTCTAATTATGCGTGTAATATGAACCTATGGGGGGAAAATCTTTAACACCCTTGATGCCACAGTTTACTGAGGCAGTGCTGGATGTCTCCCATTTCATTTAGCTTTAGGAAAATATATTAATATGCTCTCTTCTCTTTTGGTAGCAGCCAGAGGCTATATACTTTCTCCTGTAAAATATTCCTTGCTGGGCTGGAAAATGCTCCCCTCAGATATCCATTCAGGAATGTTCCCCCATCGCTTTTGATGAACACGGTGTGATTCAGCTTACAGCAGGCAGCAGCACTCGGTTTCAATGGTCATCAGCTCAATTTATTAGTTAGGAAAGCTTTCCATCTTCCCTCGCAAATTGGCCATTGCTAAATAATTAAGAGCTTACTGCGAGGACGAAGGATAAAATAAATCTTGAAGAAACTATTTGCTGGATAGCTTTCATGCTACAATAAACTCTGCCTTATTTAAAAAGAGAATGTATTTTTGCTGAATTGATAGATTGTGTTTCTTTCCCTTAGAAAGCTATATTAAAAAGCGAGAACACAGTGTTATACAGCTATTCAAGTAGGAGATGCACTGATTCGAGGGAAGCGCAATGGTACCACAATTCACACGTACCATCTGCTGCACCCAGATATATTTCAGATGATGTGACAGGACACACTGCACCAGCAACAGTGATTGACAGTGGCTAACTGCACCAAATCTGCTCAACTACAGAAGCCTATATAAACCAGTTTACCATTTCCGGTGCAACTTCTATTATCTGCCACGGACCCTTGGGGCAGGTTGGCAGAACATCAGGAGTTTCCTCTGAATGGAGTTGCTCTTTGTAGAGAAATCCAGCATTCACAAGTAAGAGCCTTGAAACTGGCATCTGCTCAAAAAATGGTCTGGAGGTGGAGACACTCTTAAATTGAGTAGTCCCACCCATGAAGCACTGGAAGGCCGAAGTGGACGACACAAGCCACGGGAAGCATCTGTTCAGTACGGCCCCACAGTCTCGCTTTAATATGGCAGTTCTGGATTTCATCCTGGAGGTATCCCAGAATCACAGACCGGGGCAGATGATTGCACTGGGGTTTCCATCTTTTGGCCTGGCTTACTAGTCCACCTGCATTTGTGCTCACAATTCCCCCTTTCTTGGCTTGGCCCTCAAGCTGTACTTGTAAAGAAAAATAAAGCAGGAGAAACACCCTTGCTGCTTCTTTTTTTCAAATGAGATTATCAAGTCATCTTCTTTTGGGTTTTCACATTCCTTGAATTTAATTCTTAACCTTTTCCCCTACCCAAATAAAGTAATTGTTCATAAACTGAACAATCTGTGTCAAAAAAAAACAAACTGTAGTTAAAGTACACTAACCTTAACCGCCACAACACACCTAAATCAAGAAAGGTTTAACCTCCTGTTCACTTGTATTTTCATTCAATTTTCTGAAATTGGGCTTATTTAATTCCAGGACACCTAATACCCAAATATTGTATAGATTTACTGGATAGATTTATAAAACTGGTAATGTGTCAAAGCCACATGCACTGGGAATTTTGAGAAATGTCATCCAACACATCTTGCGAGCAGCAAGTTGGAGAAGGCTGCTTTAGGATTTGAAACTATAATTTTACATTCTAACACACATTAAATTGCAAATTAATTCTGGCTACAAAGAACAGGGTGTGACTGATAATACGACGACCGTAATTGTTCTGTTCCTCTGAAATATTTTAATATTAGTCATTCTTAGTGATAAGCAGTCAAGGCAGAGTGATCAAACTTGTCTAACTCAGAGTAACGTGTTTCAACTTGCTTGTTCTCAGCTGTTTATGCTTCCAAATCCAGCCAAGATCTTCATATACCAACAATGAGTTTCTTCTGACCTTCACACAGTTGATTATCTGGCAATCCTGCTCCATAACTCTTCCATGAAATGTGAAGACACCAATAGTTAATTTAATAAAAATCAAATACAATATAGTACTTCTATAGTGACTTTGGCCAACCAAAACCAAAGGTCAGGTCAGTGGCCATCTGACATTGGAAAGTGTCATCTTACATGTTAGTAGATAAAGCAAGTTAGCCAGGATTTAATCTCTTCGCAACTTCAGTCCTTTCTGGACGACAAATCACAGAAAATCATGCCAAGGGGCACCAGTGCAATTTTGGCCATGTATGCATGACAGGATTAGTCAAACTGATGCCCTCTAGATAGTTTGGACTACAACACCAATAAGCCCCACCCAGCAGAGGGCTAAGGTCAGTGTTCATGGGCAGGGGTACAGCTAGGTACCAAAAAGATCCAGGGCTCATGTCCACAGGACAAAAAAAATGTGCACATGCTGACTGATAGATGCTCAGAAGTTTTGTGCGTCTTTAGGATCCTCATAGAATCATGGAATAGTAGAGCTGGAAGGGGCCCTGAAGGCCATCCAGTCCAACCCCCTGCTGTTGCAGGACACCAAGTCACACCAACCCACTCAGAGGGCTGTCCAGTTTCCTGCCTCCTAAAAACATTGAAAAAAGTGCAGCATTTCATTTCAG